GAAGGAAGGAAGGAAGGAAGGAAGGAAGGAAGGAAGGAAGGAAGGAAGGAAGGAAGGGAAAGAAAGGAAGGAAGAAAGGAGGATAAAAGATTTTAAGGACTGATGTTAATTAGCATCACAAGGGAAAGCAGCAGAAAAGTAATTCTAAAACATGCAGCAAAAGAAATGACAACTGAGGGCTGGAGAGATGGCACTGCGAGGAAAGACCTTGCCGTGCAGGCCTAAGTATCTCCATTAAGATTCTCAGCACCCGCATTGCCAAACCTTCGGCTGAGTGCAGGGGATCATAACAAAAGGAGGGGAGTTAATAGGACCTGGAGAGGACAGGAGCTCCACAAGGACCAAATCTATCTGGGCACAGGGGTCTTTTATGAGACTGTTTCTCCAAACAAGGACCATGGATGGATGTAACCTAGAACCTCTGCTCAGATGTAGCCCTTGGCAGCTCAGTATCCAAGTGGGTACCCTAATAGTGGAACAGGGACTATTTCTGACATGAGCTCAATGGCTGGCTCTTTGTCCCCCCCCCCCCCCCCCCCCCAAGGAGGAGCAGTCCTGCTAGGCCACAGAGGAGGACTTTGCAGCCAGTCCTACAGATACCTGATAAACAAGTATCAGATGAAAGGGAAGGAGGTTCTCCCCTATCAGTGGACTTGGAAAGGGGCAGGGAGCAGATGAGGGTGGGAGGGTAGGATTGGGAGGGAAAGAGGGAGTGGGATATAGCAGGGATACAAAGTTAACAAACTGTAACTAATATTAAAAAAATAAAAAATATGTAAAATCTCATCTTGCTTCATAATATATACTGAATTGAAAAACTAAAAAAAAAAAAAAAAAAAAAAAGCTACCTGTGGCAGCGCTTGCTTTCAATCTCAGCACTGGAGAGGAAGATACAGTCAAGATCTGGCTAGCCAGTCTAGCCAATCTGGGCTTCTGCTTCAGTCAGAGACCCTGTGTAAGAAAATTGGAGGCAACGTGACTCAACAGGTCTTAGAAATGATGTCACAATGACCGTTTTTCTGGTAACACTAGGGAAAAATTCAAGAGGCCTATGATACAGGGATACAGTCTGGTTTTCCATATGTTAGGTTTCATTTTATTGAAAAGACCTGGACAATTAATATTTACTAAAGAACCCTTAGCTAGTCATCCAAAGTCACCTCAGAATTTGGAAAGTAGCAATGTGAGCACTTACAAACCTACTCACAGTTCTCTCTCTTCCCATATGGTGCCTATGGACACCTATTACATGAAACTATTGGTCTTATAATTACAGGTATAAGGGCGTGGGCTGTTACTTCCTCCATGCAGGTGATCTTTTACTCAGCCTTGCACAGCAAGCAAAGAAACCACCAGAGAAGCATCTCAATCCATTCTAAGTATTGCACACTCATTTGCCTGTCAGTATGAAGATGGATACTATTTTTTCAGCTGTTTCTAACAGTTGAAAGTCTGAGTTTGATGTGGCAAATTGTCTTCCTGGATTAAAATATACTTTACAGAGGTCCTTCCAGCTTTGGCATTAGTCATGACTATAAGACATCTTTACGGAAGGTTACAGTTTAAAGAGGTTCTGAGATCAAGGACATGGCCAGATGGTGAAGACACCAAAGCTTGCATGGATCCTAAGACCAAGGAGTTTACAGCAGAATTTTGACTGACCCTCTTGTTTTGGATCTTATCCTTGATGAATCTTTTCTCATGAGGTATCACAAAGTACCAACTATAAGTAGTAATTGCACCATAGCTACTAGAAGAGGGTAGGATTTTGTTTGCTGTTGCATTTGAAGAAGTAATTTTTTCCTTGCTGGTATAAGGAAAAATTTTGTTCTCAAGTAACAACAATAATGCATGGTTGCCTTCTGATTGTTCAAAGATTATCAAAGAACGCTCAAACCTTCAAACTGGGTCAATATCATTGTTAAAAGAAGTAATTGAACTGAAAGTGCTAACTGCAATAAACTTTACTAACTCAACATTAACTATGACTGCTGTTTGCATGAAGAAGAAAATACCTTTGAATAAGGCTCCTGGTCCACCTTACTAGACAAAAAGACATAAAAATAAAAAGACATTTTTGATGTCTTCATTGTTTGTATGCAGTTGAACAATTCTTTAGAGAATTTAAAAACTATTTTTTAAAAAGATTAGTTTACTCATAGCCAAACTTTGGGCATAGTGCAGGGAATCTTATAAAAGAAGGGGGAGACAGAAAGACCTGGAGGGGACAGGAACTCTACAAGGAGACCAACAGAACCAAGAAATCTGGGCACAGGGGTCTTTTCTGAGACTGATAACTTCAACCGAGGACCATGCTTGGAGATAACCTAGAACCCCTACACAAATGCAGTCCATGGCACCTCAGTGTCCAAGTTGGCCCCCTAGTAAGGCTATCTCTGACATGAACTCAGTGGCTGGCTCTTTGATCACCTCCCCCTGAAGGGGAGCAGCCTTACCAGGCCACAAAGGAAGACAATGCAGCCAGTCCTGATAAGACCTGATAGGGTAGGGTCAGACGGAAGGGGAGGAGGACCACCCCTATCAGTGGACTTGGGGAGGGGCATGTGAGGAGAAGATGGAGGAAGGGTGAGATTGGGAGGGGACGAGGGTAGGGGCTACAGCTGGGATAGAAAAGTGAATAAACTGTAATCAATAAAAAATTAATTAATTAAAAAAGATTAGTTTACAGTTCAACAAACCCATGTTATTGGTTATTCCAGGTGTTTTTCTGATATAAATTATTTAAGTCAGTAGACTTACTGGAAGAATAGAACTAATTAAGTACAGAATGAATAGCTATGTTTAAGAAGGAATCATTAGGGGCTGGAGAGATACTCAGTGGTTAACATGCATGCTCTTACAGAGGTCCTGAGTTTGATTCCCAGAAACCACATGATAGCTCACAACCATCTATAATATGATCTGATGCCCTCTTCTGGCATTCAGGTAAAAATGCAGATGAGTACATATATTTACATTATATCTATTTTTATTAAAAAAAAGGATCATTAATGCCTTTGCGTGTGTATGTGCGTACTCATGTGGAGGCCAGAGGTTTCCTTGATTGCTTCTCCATTCATTTACTTAAGTATTTATTTGACACAGGGTCTTTCACTGAACCCAAAGCCTCACTTCTGGTAGACTACTGTCAGGCCAGCTTCTACAACATTCTGCCCCACTTGGTTACAGTTCCATAGAAATGCACCAGGCTTTCACAATACAAAGTAAAGTTCTCATAATGCACAGGAAACACTCTACCCACCGGCTCACCTGAGTCTTTTGCTCTGTTTTTAGTGAGTGTGCCACTATGCATCAACCTCCAAATGTGCAGCACTGTGCAATCCAGGTGTGTTGAATTTCCTCTCTATAACAATACCCTATCAGCACAGACACTTTATAATATTATCTGTTAAAATATTTTTACAACTTGCCTTTAAAAAGTCATCAAAGAGAAAGGACTTCTGGACATAATGGCACACACCTTTAACCCTAGCATTTGGGAAGCAGAGGCAGGTAGAGTTTTGTGAGATTGAGGCCAATCTGGTCTACATAGTTAGTTCTAAGCCAGCCAGACCCACAGAGGGCCCTATCACAAAGTTAAAAAAATTATGGAATAGCTTTGGGATGACAAAGAGTATCTTTGTTTCTTTGTCTAAGAATCAGAGTATATGAAAAGATTTACTTTCTTTTCCTTTAACCAAAAGTTAAGCTCAGTTGGCATTTAATGATATACAAAATGGTCTTTAGAAATAGTGATTTTAAGGTTTTCATGGATTCTTTGCTTTTACCTACTGCAATTACTCTTAAAATTCCACATTTAGGTTTTCTCTAAACAATGAAAAGGTGTCATAGTATGTACATATTTTCTTTCATTTTTACTATGGGGTTTTACATAGAATCCTCAAACACCATTTAGAAATAAAACCAAAACCAAATGAAACAAAAAACAGCTAGTAGTGCTAGTGGACTAGAGATAGAAAGACAGACACAGAAAGCAAACAGCAATATGGGAGATTTAATTCCTACCCAAATACCAATTATCAACAAATTTGATCACAGAATAACAACTGGCAGAATGGAAAATATACCTGACCCAATTACATACTATCCATAGTATGTGTATATATACATACACATATACACACAGTACAAGAACACAAAATATCAAAATTAAAAAGTAAACAAAAAGTATCATTTAAATTAAACCAAAAAATGAGCTAATATAACTTTCTTAGTATCAGACAAAATGTGCTTTAAAATTTTAAAGAGATACAGAGGGCCCAGCCCAGGCCAGAAATTGTAGTACATGATTATAATCTCACTAGGAGAGGTATAGTTGGGGCATTAGGAATGCAAGGCCAGCCTCAGCTACATAGTAAGTTCAAGGCCTAACTGGGTTACAGGAAGTCTGAAGCAAAATAACTCATACAAAGAACAACAACAACAAGAAATACAGGTTTATAATACACAGGCACAGGCATGCATACACAGACACACACCCATATATGAACATCAGCCTGCTTCTGCCTCTGCAGTGTTGGAATTAAAGGCTTGTAGCACCACACCCAGCTACTGATACACCTTTCATTCAAAGACAGAAAAAACAAGAGAGATGGAGAAGATGCTTTTATAGAACAAGAATTTTTAATCAAGATCAAGATTATTTTTAATAATGAAAATATCAGGAAGACAAACCTATTTAGGTACAAACACAAACTTAAAAAGTCCCAGAACTCATACAACTGAAGAGAAATTAGACAATAATTAGTGACTTGGCTAATCTTTTAATCATGAATGATATAACTAAGCAGGAAAACAGAAGACAGGAGCAGAGTAATAAGCCAAATAGGCATTGTACATATATAGAATACTCTGTCTAACAAGGGTGTAAAACCATTGGTCATAATTAACTTCACTTATCAATACACTCGAGGAAACATCAACTGCTTCCATCAGACTGGCCTGTGGGCATGTTTGTGGGACATTTTCATGATTGCTAGGCAGGTGGGCCAACACTGGTTAAGAAGAAAAAGGAAAAAAGAAAAAAAGAAAAAAAAAGTAGCTGAGCAAGCCAGGGAAAACAAAGCCAAAGGAAGTAAGATAGTAAGCAGCATTCTTCCTTGGTCTCTTCTTCAGTTTCTACCTTGTCTTTCCTGGGAGATGGACTGGGAAGTGTGAAAAAAAATTGCATTGGAAGGAGGAGGACCCTGGGTAAGATGATAAATTCTCATGCAGAAAGGCAAAGGGGATAGACATCAGAAGCGGGAGAAAACAGGCAACAGGACAGAAGCCTACCACAGAGGGTGGTTCAAAGACTTTACTCAGCAAGGTATCAAAAGAATGCTGAGAATCATAGCCAAACTTTGGGCAGAGTGCAGGGAATCTTATGAAAGAAGGGGGAGAGAGAAAGACCTGGAAGGGACAAGAGCTCCATAAGGAGAACAGCAGATCAAAAGATTCTGGGCACAGGGGTCTTTTCTGAGACAGATACTCCAACCAAGGCCCATACACAGGTATAACCTAGAACCCCTGCACAGATGTAGCCCATGGCAGCTCAGTGTCCATGTGGGTTCCCTAGTAATGAGAACAGGAACTGTCTCTGACATGAACTCAGTGGCTGGCTCTTTGATTACCTCCCCCTGAGGGGGGAGCAAGCCATGCCAGGCCACAGAGGAAAAGAATGCAGCCACTCCTGATGAGACCTGATAGGCTAAGGTCAGAGGGAAGGGGAGGAGGACCTCCCCTTTTAGTGGTCTTGGGGAGGAACATGGGAAGAGATGAGGGAGAGAGGTTAGGATTGGGTGGGAAGGAATGAGGAAGGGGGCTACAGCAGAATACAAAGTGAATAATTTATAAAAATTTAAATAAATTTATAAAATTTATAAAAATAAATATAATTTTTAATTTTTAAAAATATAAATACATTTTTAAAAACTGAAAAAAACCCAAAT